TTGCTTCCCTGAGCAGTTAAGTTTGTCTTCTGGACCTAGCATGGGGTCTGGTGTATAACAGGTGCCCAATACATGTTTAATAGGTGGACAGAGATTTCTTGAAAGAATAATTTACTCAGTTTTTCAAAATGTTTCCATTCTCTCCAACATATTATAGACTGTTTTCTACCCACACCAGCATCCTAGCTAATATATCTGATAAATATTTTTGGTATTGAGTGATAAAAACTTACCGGTATTATCTTAATTTTCACACCAATGTTTATTTCTTTTTTTTCAACAAATATGTACTGAATTCATCCTATATGCCAGTTGACTAACTTGTATTTATCCTGCAAGACTTCAAGACCTAGCGCAGCTTTTTCTGACTACCCGCTCTCCCCTATCAGCCACCTCTACCCTATTCTGCCAAACCAGGCTTGTTCAATTGCTGCCCTTCCCATTCCCACAGTCCTCCTCCACAGACCTCTGTTACCATACTTATCTCATATCCAGAATCTGTATACTTATTTGCCCCTTCCGCAAAGCCATGAACTCCTTAACTAAAGACTGTGCCTCATTTCTTAGTATCTCTGGCACCCCACATCGTACTAGGCACACAGTAGACATTTAGTAGTCGATAAACTGAACTAGATCCCCCACACCAACTTGGTTACTAAGTGTTGCTGATCCTTTTTTGAAAATATGTCTCCTCCTGTCTCTTCTGGAAACTTCTGCTCCTGTTTAAGCCTTCATCACCTCTCCTTATCCTTACTAATTGCCCCAACCTCCTTGTCTCCCTCTCTACACTACCTTATCTCTTTTTCCCAGCTCAGACAAGTGTTCTAAACCAGCAGTCTACATCCACTTTATCAGCTTCCTTTTCTAAAACTTCACTCTTTTTAATCTATTTTTAATTATGTAAGCAATACATGCATATATTCTCCCTGCCTCAGAGGTAATCACTGTTTTTTTAGTCTGTTGATTATCATTCCCCATCTTTTCTACGTATTATGATCTGTGTCATTCTGCAATTTCTTTTCTTCATGTAATAACACAATTTGGTGCTCTATCCAGATGAGCACATATCAATCTAACTCATTCTTTTAATCTGCCAAATATAATTCCATGGTATGGTTGTATCACAGTTCTTTCATTTCATTGTTAATTGATGGAAATTCATATTAAGGTTTTTATTCAATAACCAATTCTGCAATAAACATCTTTTCTGTATGCTTCTCACGAACATGTGCAATTGTTTCTCTAGGCTGTATATTTAAAAATGGAACTGTTGGGTCATGAATCATTCGCATTTAAAATTTTAAGAGGTGCTGCCAAATTTGCCCTCCTGAAACACTCTGTATCAATTTACACTCCCATCAACATGAATGAAATTACCTTGTGTTAGTGGATATTATGCCATCTTTTATTTTTGCAAATCTGATGGACAAAAAATATTTCACTGTTTCATTCTGCATTTCCCTTAATCACTGAAGAAATTGAATGATCATCGTTTCATATGCTGATTGGTCATTTGGATTTCTCTTTTGTCAATTATCTGTTTATTTCTCATTGAATAACAGAAGCCCTTTATACATTTTAGAAAAATCCTTTGTCTCTTATATAGATTGCAAGTATTTGTGCCCCATCTGTAGCTTATGTTTACTTTGTTTTTGACATCTTTCAATATATAGGAGTATTTTTTATTTTAATGAATTTAAATATGTCACCCTTTTCTTCTATAACTTGGATTTTGGTTCATGATTAGAAAAGCCTCCTCTACCCCCAAAGTTATAAAAATATTCTCCAACATTTCCTCCTTATATTTTTATAATTTGTTTTTAGTCCAACAGGAATCTATTTTTGGGAGTGGTATTTGTGTGAGAGGGTCTCATTTTACTTTTTTAATAAATGGATGGCCTATTTTCCCAGCATGATTTCTTAAATAGTTCGTTCTTTCCCTGCTGACTTGCATATACTCAATTTTCATGTAAACACGAACCTGACAGACTCACTTTTCTGTTCTAGTGCTCTTTTTGAGACTGATGCCTTTGCATCCTTGGCTTTCATTCATTCAGCAATCTAGACTCTCCCCACAATTCCCCTGGAATTATTATTCCTAAATCTATTAATGACTTTTATGTTTCCAAATCCAATGGATATTTTTCAGTTCTTATTTTCCTGGACACCACTTATCATTTCTTCCCATATACTAGATGGTACAGCTCTGTCTTGATTCTTCTATCAATAAAAACTATGACCATAATAATACCTTCTGTTGATTATGTACTTATTCGGTGCGAGGCATTGTTTAAGCATTTCATATGCCATATATATCAAGTATACTTCACCAGAGCCCTCTACAGTAAGGATTATTAATCATCATTGTCTCCACTTCTCAGGTAATTTGAAAACTGAGGCACAGAATGTTTAAGTATCCTCCCTAAGGTCCCTGGACTACTAAATGGCAAGATGAGATTTGAACCCAGGTCTATCTGAGACCAAAGCCTAAGTTCCTAGGCACTTCCTTCTCTAGACTGTTTTCCACAGTCTCACCTTTGGGTCCCATTGTTCCCAGCATTCTTTAAATGGTAGCTTTCCACAAGGTCCAGTCTGAGTTGCTGCTCTTCCCAGTTTCAGCACGTGCCCTGAATAAAGCAGGGCATTCTGATGCCCTGTCTCAGTGCAGCTGCACTGCTCTATGTGTGCTAAAGTAGCCCTGGTCACATGTAGAATCCACCGCTTTCTATTACACATCCCTGCCACCCAGCCTAATTTCAGGGAAGCTTCTCATTCCCACTTACTTGAGTTTGTTATTACTTTATATTTTATGAGTGAACCCTAACCCTAATCAGGAAAAAATAAGGACATTTGAAAAATACAATGGAAATAGATTAGCCTCTAAGGGCAGTATCTGTTTAGTTCTCCTAACCCGTAATTATCAAGGTGTTGCCCACTGTTAGATGTGTTGAATGTATGTGACTGAAAGAACTGTGCAAAATTTAATTGAGGAGTTCCTAAACAATCTGCAGCTGAGATTAAGCACTGGAATTGTGACTGAACTAGCCCTTTCCATGGGGCCTAATTTATTCTCAACCAGATAAGATTAGCACAATAAACAAGCCCATATAAAAACAGAGGTGTCCTTTCTTCTAGAATTTCAAATGGAAAACAATTCAGTTCATTATTAAGAAGCTACATGTATTTATTCATTGTAAAGATGGGAGTATGGCTGTTGTAGCTTTAAGGGAGAAATAGGAGAATTGGAGACACAGTTCATCTAAGACGCAAGAGACTCCTCAAGGGAGGAGCAGATCCTGCTCAAAATGATGAATGGTCCTTTCTAAGATGGGCACGTGTGGTACCCACATGACTTCGAGTTAAATGCAGACAGTGCCTGACCTGCACCCCACTCAATCCCAGCCCTCACCACATCCTCATCTCTCAGCTTCACTCCACCCCTCCCTCACACGTCCTCAAACTGCCAGTCTCTCCCATCTCGCCTACCTTTCTGCTAACTCCTGCTCAGTCCCTTTCAGGATATTAGCCTCCACTTGCTGACTTCACATACCAAGGTTTTTGTCTTCAGTCCAGTGTCCTTCTCCCTCTATGCTGATTCCTGGACAATCTTACCTGTGTCTACTGTTGGAACATATCTGTACCTTGATAACCCAAAGCTGTACTTCTCACCTGGACCCTCTTCAGACCTCCAATCTGTCTACTTAGCTGCCTACCACTGAAAGCCATTATGGCTCCTGATACTCCACAGACAGCTCAACTACAACATGTCCAAAACAGAGATTATTATCTTAAAATGTGGTTCTCTTAGGGGAGGCCACTACCATTTGTCCACTCTCTAGAGTCAGAAATTCAGGCCTCATTCTAGATTATTCTTTTGCCTTCACAACCGTACATCATTAAGTAAGATCTGTTGATTTTACCTACTCAATAGTTACCAAATATCTTTCCTCTTCCTAGCTCAGCAGCTACTTTACTCCTTGCCTCAATCTAAATGATTCAACAGTCTCCTCATTGGTCTTCTTGCTAGTGTATTTACATGCTACATCAAAGGACTTTATTTAAAGGACAATCAGACCACACCACTGTCTTTCTTAAAACCTTTCAATGGCTTCAGATCTGCATGCTCTATAAATTGCTCCAAGATCTGGCTCCCACTTACATCTTCAGGCTCATGTCCCCCAACTTCTTCCCTAGCTCATTCTAATCACTGGCCCAGAGGCAGATCCAAAGGGTCCTCCAAGAAAAATAATACAAACTTATGACTAAAAATTAGTTACAGGGCCTTGGAAGGGGTCTACACACGTGGCAGCCTTGAACATTAAGTTTCACTAGCTTCCCAGTAACTGCCTCTGAATAGCAAAAAACAAGCAACCTACAGTTCCTTAGAACAGCCAGATTCCACCACATCACTTTGCCCTTGTATGAGCAGTCACCTCTGCCTGGAATGCCCTTCTCTCCTGTGCCTCATCTGTCGGCAAATAGTTGTCCTTTAAGAGTCAGCTCAGGGAGCATGTGCTCTGTGAAGGCTTCCCTGACCTTCCCACATGGAATTGTTCTCACATGTGTGGTCTCATTGTAACCGTCCTTTACCTCCTCATACTCTGTCCTTCACAGAACATACCATTCTCTATGGAAATTATTTGCTTAAAACCAGTCTTGCACATGAGTGCCTCAAGGGCAGAGACTAAGGGCAGAGACTAGATTGTCAGAGCCCGGCAGCTCCTGGCACAAGACAGGAGCTCCAGAAGTGTTTGCTGAGTGGAATCAAGACCCCACCCATGTATACTACAAAGACACCCCTCTTTTGGCAAGGCAGATGAAGTGGAACAGTTGCTATAAACAGGGACTCTGGGCAGGGATGGTGCCTGTGAGGGACCTGCTGCCTGCCCGTGCCATTCTGAGGGGACACCCTGGTCCCCAGCATTTGTGCTTTCTCTGAGACCCCACAGAAAGCTTCTCCCTCTGACCCTCCAGCCTTCCCACTCCACTGCCTTCTTTACCTGTCTTCCTTGTTGATCTGGTCCCCAAAGCCCACCGTGCTAACAATTGTGAGCTTCAGCCCCACGTTGCTCTCTTGGAGGTCATAGGTATTGGACCGGAGCTGGACACCTGGCTGTGTGTGGGTGGCTGGCTCCCCCTCGAACTTGGTGTTGAACAGGGTGTCCATGAGGGTGGACTTGCCCAAACCTGTCTCTCCTGAAAAGCAAAAGAATAAATTAGGGTCCATTTATACAGTGACTGTGCAGCTACCACACGTCATGTTTCAGATGTGTACTTACTAACATGGGGAAATGTATGTAATAAAACACTAAGTGAAAAGCAGAGAGAAGTGCACAGATGATGTGATCTCACTTAAATGAAAAAGATCAAAAGGGAACACAATAACATATGCAGTCATCTCACAATAGCAGAACTGGAATAATTTTCATTTTATTCAAAAATCTCACCTTGAGTATGTATTGCTTTTATAGTCAGAAAAAAAATTATGTCACAGGCAATGATGGAGAGGTATAAAAAGACTAGAAGGACATAAAACACTCTTTAACAATGGTCATCACTGAGTAGTGGGACAACTATACATGGTTTTCAAGTCATTTCTGTATTTCCAAGTTTTCTAAGTATGTAGAACATGTATGGCTTTTTTAAAAAAAAGATGTAGAGTTTTTGTAATAAAACATAAAGGGCTATTTAAAATTTTAGAAAGAGACACTAATGCCTTGTCAAACAAAATATTCTCCCATCCCAGTGTCCTCCTCCCTGCCAGGTCCAAACAGCACTCAAAAGCCACCCTAGAGGCATCCCCCAGTGGGGCAACTGTGTGAGTAGGTGTCCTGGGTGTGTCTCCCAGGAGGGAAATTGGGTGGGCCCTAGGCTTCTCCTCCCAGCCTGACTGAACTTACAGTGAGACTATTTTTTAGTAATGGGGAGGCAACTTAACAGGCCACAAATTATTATTCTCCTTAAATTGCACACAAACCAGCCATTTGTTTGTTTAACTAACAGGTTGCAGGAAACTAATAAATTAAACTGTTGGATTTCAAAAGTCTTGAATTTCACGCTAGGGAGGGGAATGGGGGGTACGGGCTGTGGTGGACTGGTGAAGGTTTGGGGATGTTGCTCTGGGAGACCAGGGACTATCACGCCACTGCCTCGAGCTAAGGAGTCTTTAGGGAATGAAACATCACAAGAATTCATGGATTAGCGGGAAGTTGGTAACATGGCCGCTAGGCAGGAATCTGATATGAAGCCCCAAGCTGGGCTAGGCACTATAACCACTTACAATCTCCATGAATAGACCCTATTTGGCCTCCCCAGGTGATTCAGGAATACCAGGAATAAAAGTCATTAGTTAATGATCCTGGGCTGCCTTTTGAATGCATAAGACTACCCTATTATTTTGCTAGTATTATCCTTCTTTTACCCACCCACTTCGCCAATCCTGGGGAAGTGAGCTTTGACTTCTCTTCCCAGTCAGGGGTAGGTTTGCACCAGACAAATCCTGTCTGGTAAATCTCCCCTTGGAACCAACAGTACCTACTTGCAAGGTAGTCCAGGGCTTGGGTTAGAGCTGCATGACTGGAAACCAAAATTGCTGTACCTCCCCTCCACCGTCTGGGCGTGTCTAGCTTTACATCTTCAGAGCCTCTTTTATCCTGAATAATAAGCTATGAATGCAAGAGGTGCTTTTAAAACTATGATAAGAGCTTTCTACGTGAGGAGAAGGAAGAGACAGCGATACTCAGAGAAACATTCAATTCCACCTGGCTACTGGATCTCCCAGTCCTATTAGCCCTATTTCATAGCCAGGTCTAACATGGCCGATTACCGGGGTATGCAGAAATGGTTCCTCAGATCATATTTCCAGGCAGAGTCTGCTATACCTATTAGCAGAAAGATTCTCCCCCAAAATAAATAAATAAATAAATAAATAAATAAATAAATAAATAAATTTTAAAAGGCTCCTGGGTCTTTACAATGGGAGGTGGCAGACTTAGGCAAGCAGCTGAATATATTCCCACCCCACCCCACCCAAGGGAGGAGTACAAATGAGCCAGCACCTCTGAAGCAGGAACACGAGAGGCACTGAGGTTTAAACTCCTTGTCTGTATGTGCCTAATGAATCTCCCAGAGTCCCTATTCCACCCCTCTTTTCCCTAAGCTCCTTGCTCAATGCCCTGCAGCTCTGGAGAGGGGTGGCTCTGCCTGGCTCCCCAGCCTAAGAATCGTCTTGTACTCCATAGCACCCAGCACCAGCTCTGCATGGAAGGCCTCAGGAGCACAGTGCAGAGCAAGGGCCCCACCCTGTTTGCACAGCTGGAGAAATGGGGGCTGGGCAGGGCAGGGCAGGCAGCAGGGCGGGCCAGCAGGGAAAATGACCACCCAGGTGCTCATCAGCACAGAAGGACTGTGGAAATTAGATGGCAAATAATTAAGGTCTGGAAGAAAAGAACTTGTGAGTGTCTAGGGAATCACAACGCATGCAGTATTAGAAGAGGGCAGAAAATCAAGGCTGCTGAAGGTTCCCATCCCAGGTTACCATCAGTGTGGAGCCTGGGGACAGGGGGAGGCTCTCTCGAAATGGCTGGCCCACACCTAGCCCCAGCCTAGGAGGCTGACCCCTCCCATGGCTACCCTGGGCCCACCACACATGGCCGCACATGGTCAGCAGATCCCACGCCCCTGCAGGAAGGTGGAGACTTGGCAATTAGATTCCAGCAGGAAACCTGAGAGGTCCCTAGGGATTTATTTCCCTCCTCTTCTCCCCAGCCCTCCCAGAGCATCTCATAGTGGGCAGCAGGCTTTTTATTCCTTTATAAACTTTTTTTTTGAGATAGGATCTCACTCTATGTAGCCCAAGTTGGCCTCAAACTCACGATCCTTCTGCCTAAGCCTCCTGAGTGCTGGGTTACAGATGTGTGCCACTACACCCAGCTTCTTACCCCTTTTTAAATCATACTGCATCATCCAAGAGTATTTAATCTCAATTTGTTTTATGTAGATAGTATTCTAGAAATAATAGTGCTTAAAAATATACCTTTTCAAACTATATTCACTGGGACAGTCTGATATTGACCTCCTCACCCTGGCTTAAAAAACATTGTCTAGAGAAAAATTTAGCACTTTTACCTCATTACTACTAATATCTGCATCCTCTAGCACCTTATGCACTTGTGTCTTTGCAAGTTATGAAATGAAGGCTCTAAGCCAGGTTATCACTAAATTACTGTGTGACCAGAGCTGAGCCCTTTCCCCTCTCAGGTCTCAGTTTATTTTCCCATACAAAGAGAAGGCAGGAGTGACAACAATAGCTATTGTTTATGGTGAGTTTATACCAGGCATTACTGTAAAGAAAAACATATATTTTCTTTTTGTGGTGCTGGAGATAGAACCCAGGACCTCACACATGCAAGGCAAATGCTCTACTATGGAATTACACCACAGCCCCCATATATTTTCTTATTTATTCCTCACAACAAGCTAATGGCAGATCCTTTTTTTGCAGCACAGGGGATGGAACCTAGTGTTTCACACATGCTAAGCAAGTGCTCTATCACTGAACAATACTCCCAGCCCCTAGATACTACAATTTGTCCACAAACTAGAGATGGGTCCAAGGCCACATACTAGCTGTGTGAATTTATACAGTTCTTCTTCCTCTTTGCACCTTACTTTCCTCTTCTATACAATGTGGGGGGAATAACAGTCCAAGGTCACAAACTAGTAAGTTGAAGATCCAGCATTTGTATCGAGGCAGGCTGACGCTAGAACCCATGCTGTGTGTGTGTGTGTGTGTGTGTGTGTGTGTGTGTGTGTGTGTGTTACTGGGGATAGAATTCAGGGGTGCTCTACCACTGATCTTATGCTCCAATCCTTTATGTTTTCTATTTTGTTTGTTGTGTTGAAACAGGGTCTTGCTAAATTGTCTAGGCTGCCCTCAAACTTGTGATCCTCCTGCCTCAGCCGTCCACGTAGCTGGGATTATGGATGTGTATGACCACACCCATCTTGGAGCTCATGTTTTTAACCAATATGCAATAGCAAGGCCCATAGGCATGACATGTTTGCTTATTTAGTCATTCAACAAGTATGGAACAAGGCACAGTTACAGGAGCTGAGGGTACAGCAATGAACAAGATAGCCACATTCCCTGTTCTCATGGAGATAAAGACTCTTTCAGCTCTGAATGTTGGAATAAACTAAGAGAAATGTTTCTGAGTTCAACAGGGAGGTGTCCAAAAGGAAATGCTCCAGGAACTCCAGTTGGCCAAGGGAACCTAGGGACAGGCACAAGGTCCTGCCTGACTATGTGACCTTCCCCTTTCTCCTTCCTGATCTTGCAGAGGCCTGGCAGACTGTGCTGGACTGGAGCCAGATCATATAGCTTCCTGTATTTCTTCCCAAACTTGTGTGCAATGATGTCATGTTGGTAGTTTAAAATCAGCTATGGTGGGGGTAATGACACCACAAAAATCAGTGGATACTACAAACCATGGGAAGTTTCTCCCTGCGATGGCTCATTAGACATTGACCGCTGCTGGCAGCCTGCCTTAGGCAGGTGAGTGGCTAGCTGCACTTCCCAGAGACAAAGGGCTGGAACAATTGGTCCCTGACCTTGACAGAATGCTTGTTGCCCTTTTTCCTCCTGCAATGAGCCTCAATCCTGCTTGTGTGTGTCTTTTTCCAAGTTCAACAGAGCCCAATTGAGCCTGGAATCCTGAGCAGCTTCAAAATAAATATTATCATTATGACCCTTTGTGTTCCTCCCAGCCAGTTGCTGTCGCTGGCACATTTGGATAATTCTCTTTGGGGCTCTCACCCAGCAAATCAAAGCAACAGGCCCCAGAACATTTGTTCTACTGGCTCTTGTGGCTCCTGTGAGGCCTCCTATACTTTATCTATAATCATGGATCCTCAAAATTTCCAAAGCGAAGGGACTAGAGTATGATTTCTGATTAGGGAGAGGGCAACTTCATCCCACTCAGTAATTACTATCAACTGGAGGAAATTTCTCAGAGAGGAGTCATAATATGCTGATGTCCATGTGCCTAGATAAAAATAATTTCAATGATAGGCACCATCCACTGGGACCTTTACATACAAATTAGACTCTACATTTATAAAATTCTCTGCTTCTCTTTCAATCCCAACATCACATATGCACACATGTATGTAGGATACTTACTCTGATGGGCATGGGCCTATAATCAGCAGCCTTTCAGCAAGATAAGCAGTAATGTAAAAAAATAACCTACTTGTCAGTTAATAATTGAAGCTAGCACTACTATCATTTTACACTGAAAATGCCTATCGGAAAAGAAAAAATATTTTGGGGGAACACATTCTATGACCAAACAGAGTCATTATAAACAGCCATTAAGAAAGTAAATCTGACAGTCATACCCAGCCAAAAGGCATGAAAACACAGTCCCTGAAAGTCCTGCAAGAGAAAAGATCACCTTCTGCAGTCAAGCTAGGGATTCTTCTCCAAGTCAGTGACAGAATCCAGCACTGTAGCCAAGCTGAGACTACAGCCTCAGAGCCACCCTCAGCTGCCTGTGACCTTGGTCCAAATTACAGGTTCTCTGAGCAATGACAGGGTTATGAGCACAGCAAGATGCATGAGTTGAATGAAATGAGCCCAATACCAGCTGATATATCCAGTGGCTGCACTGGCAAGTCTAAGAGGCAAGCCACTGGGGTGGCCATGTGTGGCTCCTTGGGCGTGGGAGGGTCTCTCTCCTCCCCTCCCCTCTTGCAAGGACTGTCCCAGGCACTTGAGTGATTCCATCCCAGTGGCAGGTGCACGCCAAAGCAGTTGCAGCTGTACAATGTCTGGGTGGGAAGTAGAGGGCAGGAGGTTACTTTTTCTCTCCCTCACTTTGCCTTGAGCTTGGCAGCTTCTTCCTCTAGGTCCCAGGGGAGCTGTGATCCACATGTCAAATGTCCTCCCACTTCCACCCTCAGAGAGCCATTCTAACTCTCATGGCCTGCCTCCACCCAAAGCTTTACTAGTCCACCCCACTGGTCAAAAGGTTGTGTAGAGTGGGTTTGTCACACCACTTCTTATCTCCTCTATTTCAGCACAGGTCATATGGAACTCTGGGAGGAATGCCAAGGAAATCCAAGATATCTATGGTGAAATATTTTGGTAATCAAATATTATGTGAAATAAGTTGGCCATCAGCCAGAGATTAGATCTTGTTAGTTAAATAGAGATTTGGCAGTACTAAAATTGGATATGATGGCATTTGCTCTTGATGTTGAGCACTCAGACCTCTATTTATTTCATATTCCTCTCCTAAAGCACCTAAACATAACCATGAGTTAGACTTTCAGCATTTAAAGAGTTAAGAGTCCCTATCTAGACTCTAAAGCCCCTAATGTGTAATACTGTGAAGCACATATTTTCATCTCACAGGTTCCAAGGTTGATATGTGGGAATGAGTCATTTACATAGTGAGTGAGCCCAGCTGAGTGCCTGGCATCCATATTTAGAAGTGGCTTTGTTGTTTTCCATTTGTCCTTAGTGTGCGGTGATTCTCTTATAGAAAATGACCCAGAAAAGAGGGTTAGGGATAGAGAGGAGAAAATAAGGAACTCAAGGAAATGACCTTTGTGAGAAAACAGAATTTTTGAATATATTAAAGGGTACAATATCCAATTCAGTGGTGATTCAGACCTACAACTTGAGTGAGTTCCCTTGTATGCTATACAAAAATAAGAAAAGGCAAGTAGCAAAAGTGTTTTGAGTGCTCCAGCCAGTGTGAAAACTGACTTTATTATGGTATTTATATAAGCATTAAGGTTCAGAAGGAGGTTGCTGAAAATATGCAGGTATGCTTTCCTACACTGTGGGGTGAAAATTATATGCTATTATTGTGTTTGTAAATTTGGGATTTTTAAGGTCTAAGGCGAAATGCTTAAAGAATGTCAAGGAACTGTCATCCTGCACGTTGGGCTGGTGTTCAACAGTTTCCAAAAGCTTTTCTGTTCTCAAGAGATGCAGAGCCATAATGAGGACCCTGACTCAGCTGAACCCTTGCCCCTCCCACTGCAGTCAGGGTCCTCATTATGGCCCTGCTATTCTTCCTGCATTGCCTTGGGTAAATCCATTGTCCTCCTGAAGGCTCTCGGTTCCTATCTATTCTGTGAGGACATGGACACTACTTGCTGTCCTCACTTTGCAGAGTAAGGACCAAAAGGCTCCTCTAAGAAACAGTTGGCAAAGTAGAATGAGTGGCTCCTGGGGGGTTAACTCAGTCATTCATTTAACATTCTTGAACTCTTTTTGTGCCATTATGAGCAAATAGGTGGTACAAAGATGTGGTTCTCACAGTGGAGATTAAAGGCCTAGGTAGAGATATAGGTAAAGAGGAATAAAAGATCCTTGCATACAGCTGTGTGATCCCCACACTTGAGCTCAAACGATAACCAAGCATAGTGAAGGTCCAAAGGGAACCAGCAGATCCAGCCCCTGTCCCTAGTGGACAGGCATCTTTCTTTCCTCAGCCATCATCTCTCTCCCTTTTCTGTCCTGGCTCCTGTCTTCTGCAGTCAAAATGAACCTGACAGCAGTAATTGAGCCAGCCAATCCCCCGACAAGATTTCCACAGGGTCTCACACCACTCCATTTCCCCCAGCGTATGGCCCTAGAGTCTGGTCTGACCAGGGAAACAAGTAATTACAACTGGCTGCTTATAAAAATACACAGAAGGATAAAAGAAGAAGGGGGAGGAGGAGAGCCAGGCATGGTGGCACATGCTGTAATCTCAGTATTATGGGAGGTTGAGTCAGAAGGATCACAAGTTCAAGTACATCCTGGGCAACTTATGTCTTTAGTGAGGCCCTATCTCAGAATAAAAATTAAAAAGTGACTGGGGTGTAGCTCAGTGTGAAAGCTCTGGGTTCAATCCCCAGTGTACTGCACAAGGGGGGCACTCTTGCAACTTAATCAAAATGACACACTATTTAACCTAATTACCTGCAAAATCACATCCAGCCATCAAGGATCCATATTCTGTAATAGAATTTCCTGCTATGGAAATACTCACCCACACACAGGATGTTGAAACAGAAGCCCTGGCTGACTGACTTATTCACCAGCTGGTCAGGCAAGCTGTCAAACCCTACATGTCCAGCCAGGGGGACAGTTCGGCAGCCTTCACCCTAAGTTGGGAAGGGAGGGAGGGAGAAAATGAAAATGTGCTTAAAAGCAATCTAGGTCTCAATTCTCCATCCAACCCCCACCCTCACCCAGGCCCAATCCGTCATCTCTTCCCTCAATTACTCCCTGCTTCAAAGCAAAATGGCCAGTCAGCTTGGAAGTCATGGGTTTGGGGCACAGACATCTTCCAGACTCTGAGAATGTCCCTGCAGTTCGACAGCAAACTACAGAGGAGGCATATCATGGATGGGAGGCTAGGATCAAGGGAGGAGATCATTCATACCCCACATTCCCAGACCTGGGTTAAATTTCAACTCGATTACTTATGAGCTAGGTAACTTCTCTGAGATTCCATGTCCTTCCATGTCTGTCATATAAGATAATATGACCTCCCACGTGACTGGGAGACTCAAATGTGCTATGCTATGTAATGAGCTTCATACATGCTTAGGTGTTGAGTAAATATTCCTAAAAAGCAATTAATCCTCTCTCTAGGACATTTTGGGGCTCTACAAAGACCACATAGCATAAAGGTTAAGAGGACAGGCTTTGAAATCCAACATGTCTTAGTTTGAGCCCAACCTCTGCCAACTTCTGGCTGTGTGACCTCTTACAACTTTTCAAAGTTTCTCCATCCTAAAAACAGGAACTAGTAGCTAGTGTGTAGATCATATAGGATAACATGCCTCGTACACTTACCATAGTGCCTAGCATGCAGCAAGCATTTCGATCAACAGTAGCTGTGACACTATCCTGAGCCCCATTATGCCATGTCACACTTGTGGTTCCGTGTGACTAAAGAGCGGCTCCCAGCTTCCCCTGGTTCCCTGAACTCCACAGGGGTCAGTCAAGCCACTCCCAGCCCTGGAAAGCAGAGGGCCTTTGCTTCGCCTACCAGACCCAAAGCTTTTTAGAGTTAATGGTTTTACAAAACAGGGAGAGCCTCAAACTAGTGCAGGCTTCCAAATAGCGAGGGGGGAAGGACAAAAAGGGCCGGCATGCACTCCAGAAATATGCCAACTGCCAACGGTCATGGCAGAAGGGAGGGGAAGAGGGGGGAGAAAGGAAGAGAAAGGGAGCTAAACATGGCTGAGCTCAATGAGAATGGTAGACTGTGGAAAGAGTCAGCATTTCTGTTGGGTGGGGCTGCACCATGCTTTCCACAACCAAAAAGATGCCAAGAGCAATCCAAAAGGGCATGGTTAGCTCCAGGAGGCCTTCGCCAGCATCCCAGGCTATGCCAGTAGGCAGCTCTGACGCTGGCTGGACCTGTTGGTACACTAGGTCCAGAGTAAGGGTTGGCACACTTTCACCACCACTGAAAGGGATGAGCCACGATGCTGGAGGAGCCTCTCATCCACCAACATCGTCAGACACTGCTCCCACACAGCCCCTTCACCTAGCTCGTGATCACATTCCCATCGGTGTCAGCAGATCCCCCAAGAGCTAGTGCTGGCGACTGCCATCTGGCAAGTTCATTACCTCACACATCCCACCCCACACACTCCCAGGGGAGCATTCCTGACAGACGATCATATGCCATGGTTCAGTCAGGCGGGCATGCTCTGAAGATAGCTGAATTTCATGAGGGACCCACTTCACTCAGGGCTTTGTTCTGTATTCATATCTTCCGTGTCCTCTTCCCTTTTTCCCCTTCTTCTTTATTTTTTTTTCCATTAAAGCAAACAGTAAGTTTCCCACTGTTGGTTCTTCTGCTCGGCCCTGTGGGGCGAAGGGACTTGGAGGCAATATGCTTTCCCCATGGAGCCTCCTACATAGCAGGCCTTGGAAATTGGGACAGACTCCGAGTTGGGGTTTCCTGAAACATATTTTATCACCTCTGGCTGCCTCTTTCTGTCTCCAAATTCAGTGCCATGAAACTTCAAGAGCTCCAAAGGTTCTGGCATAACGCCAAAAGGAGAGGAAAGGAATTCTCAAACTAAGATGGTGAAGGGCAGTGAGGAGAGCCCCCTACCTTGTTCTTAAAAATTTACTTCACTGTCAGCTTACCAAACACCTCTCATGGGCCCACCTTATCTCTTGCCCGGCACAGTGCTGTAAAGAGCCCTGAAAAGCAAAAGAAGTATGGGCCTTATTCCCTAGGCCAGCAGTGGTGAACCTTTTAGAGACTGAGTATCCAAACTGCAACCCCAAACCCACTTACTTACTGCAAAGTGCCAACACTGCAATTAAATCAAAATACTGAGGTTTTAGTTTAGAAAAAACAACTGTTGTCTGATGCATGGCTGCTGGGGTGACTTGGCTCATGTGCTGACAGAGAGGGCTCTGCATGCCCACTGCGGCACACGTGTCATAGGTTTGCCACCACTGACCTAGGAAATAGGGCTTGGGGGATTTGAGTGTTTTGAGCAGGGAGGGCTATGGCACAAACAGTGGACTTTACTGTTGTTGTTGTTTTGAGACAGGGTCTCATTAAGTAGCCCAGAAAGGTCTTGAACTTTTGATCCTCATGCCTCAGCCACTGAGATTGCAGGTGTGCACCACCACATCAGGCACAAATAGTGTTTTTGAAAGCTTGCTCCAGCTGCAGAGTGCTTGACTGATTGGAGGAACAAGAGACTAGGGGCAAGAAGACATATTAGGAGATGGCTCCAATACAGTTGAACTGGCAGAATGACACCCACACTGTGACGATATAGGCTGGCTAAAGTGAACTGACCTGATTTGGGACTCAAAAGGAAGGAACTGGGGTTTTGGGTGTAGCTCACTGGTACTGCATGTGCTTAGCATGCATGAGGCCCTTGGCTAGATCCTCAGCACTAAAAAAGAAAAAAAAGGGAACAAAATTGAGAGATGTCCTAACAAGGGATAAGACTTAATAAGTGACTGGCCAGAGGGAGTGAGAGAGCGACCAGACTGCAAGGTCTAAACCAGGGCCTGGACTGATGACACCATGGATAGAAAGCGGCCAGGAAAGACAGCTTCGTTAGTAGGGATGTCAAGGAGTCTGCTTTCAAACAAGCCATTACTAAAATCATTATGCTTATCAGGTTTTATGTTTTATAAAAGTAATCAATGTTCACTGTAGAAATTTTAGAACATAGAGAAATGATAAAGAAGAAAATAAAAATCACTCATAATATCATTCTCCAGAGATAATCATGTAATATTTATATGTATTTTGCTCCTATCTGTAACTTTTCTTTTCTGATACTCAGTAGCGAACCCAGGGCCTTTGCACTGAGCTACATCCCCAGCCCTTTTCTAATTTTTTCATTTTTAAGAAAAGGCCTCACTCAGTCATTAAATTTCCCGGATGGGACACAAACCTGCAATCTTCCTGCCTCAGCCTCTTAGGATGCTGGGGTTATAGGTGCATGCCACCATGCTCAGCTAAGTCTGTACCTTCTTTTAACAAAATAGGAATACTCTTATATATTCTTCTTTACAACCTGACTTAATAACCTCATAATATAGTATAGATGTTTTCTTGAGTAATGGAGTATACTTCTAAAGCTTTTGTGTGTGTGTGTGTGTGATACTTGGGATTGAACCCAGACCTATGCACTAAACGACATCCCCAACCCTTTTTAAAATTTGTATCTTTGAGAGGAGGTCTCACTAAGTTCCTAAGTTGCCTAGACTGAGCTCATAAAACATCGTTTTTAACGGCCATATAGCATTCCAGTACAGAAATCTGCCCTATTTTCCTAACCCATCTTCTATTATTGGACATTCAGTGTGTCTCCAAGTTATCAACATAACAAACAAAATTCTTTTTCTTACATATATCTCTTACATATTTCTTTGCATATATCTCTGATTATTTCTGAGAATTGAAGCCTAATGGACCAGAGGGTAGATACACTTTGAAGACTTTGATATACACTGACACATCATACAACAGACAATAGTGCAAATTCATGTTTCCACCACTAATATGTGAGAATGCCTATATCCCCATAAACACTGGCTTTCTAGCCATTATAAAGTAAATTGCTGAAAATGGCATGAGGTTGTTTAATTTGCATTTTATCAGTGAGGGTGAACATTTTTTTCATTGTTCAGCCATATATGTGTATTGTGTGTGTACATGTGAATTACCTAGTCATGTTGTCCATTTAAAAAATGGGTGTTTATCTTTCTCTTGGATTTGTAAAAATATTTTATCTTTTAAGAAAAATAAGATTGTTTTGATTTTATGGTGAGATCTCCAAGAGCAGAACTCCAAAAAGTAGTTAGCAATATGGTGATGTAGGCTGAGAGTGAATTCAGGACTGATATAAATTTAGGAGTGAGAGGTATGAAACTGGATGTAAGAGATAGTATAGAGAGAAAAGCGCTGAAGACTAAATATAGGAAACGTCCACAAGTAAGGAATGGGAATATAAAGAGGATTCTCCCAAGAGAAAATGATCAGAAAAGTAAGAGATGACCCAATACAATGGTTTTCTATCCCCAGAAGCCAAAGGGAAAGCCAAGAAGAAACAGCCATTGATTTGGATTTGGTGAAGGTCACTGGTAAATATCAGCATCCTTATTTCTTTTGTATCTTTTATCCAGTGTCCAATACACTTAAATTGACTTAAGAGCCCGGGGGTTAGGAAACAGGAGGCCTGGTTAATGAGTCTTTCTTACTATTCAAGATTTAAGCAGCAAAGCTGGGGATTTAGCTCAGTGGTGCTGCCACCTGCCTTGAAAGCACAAGGTCCTGAGTTCGATCCCTGGTGCCAAAAAAAAAAAAAAAAAGACTTAAGCAGCACACATTTTGTCTCACTCTAGTTAAGAAAGCTTCAAAAATGTATTTGTAGCTGGGGATGGTGGCACACACCTGCACTCCAGCACTCAAGAGGCTGAGACAGCAAGATCACGAGTTGAAGCCAGTGTAGGCTACATAGCCAGTTTTAGGCCAGCCTGGATTACATAGCAAGACCCTGTCTCAAAAAAAATCAAGCAAAACCAAACCAAAAACATACTTACAGAGTTCCTGCTTTTAGATATCCTGTCTTAGTGAGCACTATGCACTCTTGCTTTGATTAAT